AGTGATCTGTGTCGTTATAATGGAATCGGTAAAAAAGACGCACAACCAACAGGAACCAGCCAACAGTATCTGAGGTGTTCGCTAAAATGACTAAGTACAAGTGAGTGAAAGATTGAAGCAGTCCTCTGACTGCCTGGACCTGCTGTCTCGAGCGCCTGGCTGTGTGTGCGTCTGTGTCTGTGTGGTCACGTGATGTGCATTTTAGGTAGAGAGGCAGGAGGGCTTCTCAGAAATGCTACACGCCACTGTGGATGTCAAATCGTTGTCGTTCTAAAATGCCATTTAAAAACAAAGACAGTGTAAACAGGGCCTGAGTGTGTACTTTTCGCGAGCGGATTTGCAACGGGGGCGGGCGGAGGATCGCGATGCCGGTGTTGTCTATCGGACGAACCGTACGTAATACGTACATAGCAGAGCTTGCGAAATGAACGTTGTCACTGGAAATCCAAAATGCTTACACACCGGCGACTTCATTGAAAGAGGAGAGGGTTTAAGTTCTGTCGACGGGTCTCCTGCTTCAGTGGCGTGTAGCTAGGTTGCTGCCGGAAGTGGTGTTAGTGAGGCCAGCAGGGGGCGCCCAACCTGCGGTCTGTGTGGGTCCTAATGCCTCAGTATAGTGACGGGGACGCTATACTGCTCAGTGAGCGCTGTCTTTCGGATGAGACGTTAAACCGAGGTCCCGACTCTCTGTGGTCGTTAAAAATCCCAGGATGTCCTTCGAAAAGAGTAGGGGTTTAACCCCGGCATCCTGGCCAAATCTGCCAACTGGCCTTTGTCTATCATGGTCTCCTAACCATCCCCATATCATAATTGGCTTCATCACTCTGTCTCCTCTCCACCAATCAGCTGGTGTGTGGTGTGCGGTCTGGCGCAAAATGGCTGCCGTCGCGTCATCCAGGTGGATGCTGCACACTGGTGGTGGATGAGGAGATCCTCCCATTGTGTGTAAAGCGCTTTGAGTGCCCAGAAAAGCGCTATATAAATGTAAGGAATTATTATTATTATTATTCTGCAGTTTAACAAGCACTTCAACAAGCCAGTTTTTTTCCCGCTTGGCAAGCAAAGCTAACGTGGCAGCATCGATGATTCTATTTTTTGATTCGATAATCGAAATTGAGCATAAATTTCGAGCGATTTCGAAATCGTGACACCCCTACACCGAAGCATGATCCGAAACACCCAGGTCACGTGATTAAAGTGTTTCGAAACACCTGGTCATGTGACTAAAGCGATTCAAAGCATTGATCGTTTCAGAAGCATTTCGAGACCCGGAGAATCTGCATTTGACTAACAATAGTGGACTGTGCGTGTGCACGTTGTAACTGTGTTTCAAATTAATTTTGGGTTCGAATCCCGACTAGTCCAAATACTCCAAAATCATGATTTTATGTATTTTAATCATGTTACTGTTTTATGGTGTCTAGATAGGATACAGCTGCGGATACACCATCAATTTAGCATCATTTTTGTAACACTGTAAAACAATAATTAATTTTTTTACAGTACAGTGATGGGTTTTGGATAAACGTTAATAAAATACAAGGGGAAATTGAATTAATATTATAAATAATTATTGTTAACTTCTGGCCACAACTTTATCTGATCTAGCAACAACCCTGTTTTATGAACAAAACAATACACATTTATTTAATTTATTTAATTATTCAAACAAAACGATACAAAAACAAAGCATTACCAACTGGTATTTAAGCATTTTAAAAATAGTTGCATTAGCCTGGATTCGAACCCCCTATACCCGCATGGTGGTTACGAACTTTAACTGCGCAACTAAACCACTTGTAGGATCAAGGCTACAAAGTGGGGTTTCATACCTCAGTTTGCTCAACAGTTCTTTGCTGAAGCTGTTTCAGTGCAATACACATGACCACTAGGTGTCACCGTAGAGTGGGGTTCGGAAGCTTCGACACAGTTGGTTTGACTGTTTCAGTGTTTCACGAAGCCTCGCTTTGCCCACCACTAGTACCCGACTCCCATGAGGAAGGTTGCCGGTTCGATACCAAGCTTGGAGCGGGTTAGGTGTGGAGTAGGACCGGCGGGTTACACTTACATCAACTAATTTGATTAATATATATTTATGAACACAAATACCCTACACTGTACTACTATATTTTCAGTCGTAAAACATGTTTACTGCAACTAAAGTACACTATTGCAGTTGATCAGTTCACTATTAATCATATGCTGGTGCGTTCATCAACAAAGACTTTTGACCTTATTCTAAAATGCGGAAGTGCGCCTGTTTTCGCGATTGTCTTAGAACTTCCGATTCAGTCGCCTATGGGAGAAATGACTAGGAATAATAAACGGCAGAAAACGGTCAAACTACTTGCTCTACAAACAAATGTTTGCATGACTATACAGACCAAGTAGAATAATATAACAAAAAAAATCAAATTGCAACATCAAGCAGCGTAACGAGCAGTTTTTAACGTCAAAAAATGAATGGAAGTGAATGAGACCGGAAGTCGCGAGACAAAAAGATTCCAATGGCAGCGCCCACTCGTCGGCGGAGAATAAGGTGAATAGTATGCTTCAAAAACATTGTTTAGAGCTGTTTTTGAGTGTTTCCTGAAAATACAGTTTTAGAGCACTTAGTAGTACAGTATAGGGCTAGGGTGTCCAAACTCGGTCCAGGAGGGCTAGTGTCCTGCATAGTTTAGCTCCAACTTTCTTTCAACACACCTGCCTGGAAGTTTCTAGTATACCTGGAAAGAGCTTGATTAGCTGATTCAGACTGTCCACCAAGGATCTGTCCTTGGCCCACTCCTGTTTAGTATCTACATGTTGCCCCTTGGACAGATCATGCCTAAATTTGGCCTGGGGTATCACTGCTATGCTGATGACACACAGATTTACATCAGCGCTCGCCCTGATCTCACCTCTGCCACGTCAGTTTTATCTGCCTGTTTACTTTAAGTTAAAGCCGGGATGGATCCAAATTTCCTTAAACAGTTCTATAACATAGGTTCTACTAATTGGCACCTCCTACCAATTTTAACCAGTGTAATGATTTTAAACTCTCTGTTGGTGATCTTCCTCTACACATTGCGCAACCTTGGGGTGCTTTTTAATGCACAGCTCAGTTTTAACTCGCACTTCAAACACTTGACTTAGGGTGCTTTCACATCTGTAGTTCGCTTCATTTGGTCCGGACCAAGGGTATTAAATGACACATTGCTGCATCTTCTGCCGTCTTTGGGTCGTTTTCACACCACACTGCTGGCTTTGGTCCGAACCAGTTGAAACGAACCAAAATGCAGTCATCTGAGAAAATCCACATCTCTCATTGGCCAGATGTTGTTGAACATATTTCCTAAACTGCTTATTGATTGGTCAGAATTCACGTGCGGGAAAATGCCACTGAACTCCCGCAGGTAAACAAAACCTTTTACTCTTGAGGCACGATTGCGCTGACTGATTGTATCCCTGCTTTAGACAAACTATACGAAAATGAAGCGCGGCCGCGGCTGGAAAACAGTGTTTAATGCATCGCTCGTCACTTCAGGAGGAGACGTGAATTAAATTAGCTAAACTGCGACATGGTCATCTTGCGGAAATATTACCAACAATCCATCAGGTAATGTTCTCCCCTCTCCCTCTCTCTCTCTCTGTTGGTAAAGCGCTGTCAACAAATATTTTTCCTCCATATCCCATAATGCACAGCGCATCGGCCTACGGCAGCTGAATTAGTCCAAAACACGCAGTACTTTTTGCGGTTGGACCTGTTTTAGTACGGATCATATTCTCACCACAAACAAACCGCTCCAGGGTTCGTTTGAAAGCGTACCGAGACCACCTCTTCAAGCAGGTCTCGGTACGCTTATTTGGTGCGCACTTGAGTACGATTGCTGCATTCACACCTGCCCAAACGAAACGCACCAAAAGAGGAAAAGAACTCCAGTGCGATTCAATCGAACTAAATAAGGCAGGTGTGAAAGCACCCTAAAATAGCATTCTTTCACCTACGTAACATTGCGCGGATTAAACCTTTTCTATCACAGCCTGGCCTTTTTTTGTATCAGCCACGCTGTAAATTTGTTTGTTGATGTGCTTTTTCGTACTGTGCGCCTACGCTATGGAATTGCCTACCCACCAGCATCAGGAATGCCGTTTCTCTGGACTGTTTTAAGAAACTTCTCAAGACTCACCTTTTTACCATCGCTTTTAACTTAGATTGATTATTTTTGTTAATTTAATCATCCAGTTGTATTTAATCGTTCATTTTTTTATTGTGGTCTTTTTTTTCTTTTTACTATTATTGTTTTTCTTTGTTTGCCATGTAGCACTTTGGATCTGTGAAAAGTGCACTATAAATAAAATTAATTATTATTATTATTAATTAATTATTATTATTAATTATTAATAAATAATTATTATTATTAATAATTAACTAAAACATGCAGGACACCGGCCCTCCAGGACCGAGTTTGGACGACCCTGGTGTAGGGTATTTGTGTTCATACGATTATAATTATAATATAACAACAGCAATTAAAACACTACACAGAACGGTTTAAAAAACTACAGCAGTAATAACTACATTTTTTTAATGTGGGCAAATTGATAAAATAACAGAGAATAGTAATGTTAGATTTAATTTACACTATAATCTACATACCTGTGTTTTATAATTATTACCCCACATTTCTGAAAATATTTCGAGATTTTGTAAACCTTGTGACTCGCGCGGCGATTTATGAAGTGAATCATTTTGACAAACATTTGATTCAATTGACTCGGAGTTTTAAGAAGCTCTTTTTACCTCATCTCCACTCGCCAGTAGCCGAATTCGTGTTTACTAACAGATACAGAAAGGGAAACGATCCTGCTTTGAACCCATTTCATTGTTTTAAAATGACTGTTATATGAAGAACTGCAGTGCTACATTCAATGGCAAACATCTAACATCGCTTGTAAACTCAACTATAACCTTGACCGACTGTTTGTGTACTTTATAAACCTTTAAAGAAAGCACATACCTTTCCCCAGGACAGTGTGTACACAGCAAAGCGGCGCAGCTTTATGACATCACAAACCCATTCCAAAATAAAAGTCTTTCACACATAAAGAAATGGTGGTTTATCTCCTAAAATTAATCTAGTCTTACCAAGTCTCTAATACTGTTTATACTCTGTAGTTAAAACAAAAATACTAATTATTTGAAATTCTCAAAAAGAAAAACCCAATATTACAAACAAATGAATAATTAAAAACAATTACAAAGCTGTTCTAAAACTATTGAATAACACACATTCTTATCTTTTATGTATATATATGTATATATATATATATATATATATATATATATATATATATATATATATATATATATACAGTTGAAGTCAGAATTATTAGCCCCCTTTGAATTTTTTTTCTTCTTTTTAAAATATTTTCCAAATGATGTCTAACAGAGCAAGGACATTTTCACAGTATGTCTGACAATATTGTTTCTTCTAAAGAAAGTCTTATGTTTTATTTCAGCTAGAATAAAAGCAGTTTTTAATTTTTTAAACACCATTTTAAGGACAAAATTATGAGCCCCTTTAAGCTATATTTTTTTCCGATAGTCTACAGAACAAACCATCGTTATACAATAACTTGCCTAATTACCCTAACCTGCCTAGTTAACCTAATTAACCTAGTTAAGCCTTTAAATGTCACTTTAAGCTGTATAGAAGTGTCTTGAAAAATATCAAGTAAAATATTATTTACTGTCATCATGGCAAAGATAAAATAAATCAGTTATTAGAGATGAGTTATTAAAACTATTATGATTAGAAATGTGCTAAAAAAATCTCTCCGTTAAACAGAAATTGAGGAAAAAAAATAAATAAGCGGTCTAATAATTCAGGGGGGCTAATAATTCTGACCAACTGTGTGTGTGTATATATATATATATTTATATATATATATATATATATATATATATATATATATAAATACTGTATAATATATATATATACAGTACAGTATACAGTATATATATATATATATATATATATATATATATATATATAAATACTGTATAAATATATATATATATATATATATATAGAACAACATTTTTTTCCAAGTGTTATCATATCGTCAAAATCATATACGGGCCCATGCCTAATATATATATATATATATATATATATATATATATGCAAAATAAGTTTTGTGAAATTAGGATGACAGATGATTTCACAAAACAAAACTCATTTCGTCTCCATCATCAATCTCGCAGGTAACTAAATGAACGAAATCATTACTGTTGTGTTGAGAAACTCCTTATGCTTTATCTCCATTTTTTAAAAACAAAAAATACATTCTAGATCATGATTTTTCTCCTTAACCTACTTTAATGTCCATGTGAATTCAAAATGATAGTTTTTAAGACTTTGGTTTTGTGTTTATGATTCAATTTATTGCATGTTTGGCAGCTCCTGTCTCTTTCTTCATGGAATGAGTGTGAGTCTGAGCTACAATGAGTAAGTGCTACACATTTCCAGTGTGAATAAACTCGATATAATGGAGCATATGAAACCCACTGCCTCTAAGTGTTTCATAAGTTTTAATCCAGAGCAACACAAACAGAATGCAGAAGTATAAATGCATGGCTACGTCATCCTTAATCATTCAACATCTGAGTGTGGATAGGAGTCGCGTTGTAAAACATCTGAAATGTTGTTTTACTCATTTCTCAAACGTCTCAGCCAAAGTCTGTCATCATTGTGGTTCCGTATTATCATTTTATTATTAATACCTCCAGTCTTGAGCATCTGCGCTCCCAAAGAACATCTCATGCCTCCGAAAGCCACCGCGTTGTGTTCATTGCGTTTCGTCTACTGAGTTGTTAGCTGGTAGACGGAAAGATGGGGGACGAGATCTGCTTTGGCTCAAGGTTTCCGTCAGGCGAACCACTCTGACCGCTGCTCTGAGGACGTTCAGACGAGGCCTGATGATATCCAGGAAGTGACAGTGACAGATCAGCTGACACACACTTCCTGTAGAGAATAGTTGAAACAAAGCAGATTCTCATTAGTTAAAGACTGACGACTTGCATTTGACTTTTATTAGAGTTGTTTTGATAGAGACTGAAATACTGTGGAAGTTGTTTACAACTAAGTGTAGATTTCAAAAACCTCTTCTATGATGCTTAAATCTTAAAAACTGTAGTTCAGGGTTTCACAGCAGGAGTCTTTTATATGTATAGTAAGAATATGTATAGTAGTCGGCGCCTGTGGTGTAGTGGTTAGTGCGTCGACACATGCATTCCGGTGCTCGTGGCGGCCCGAGTTTGATTCCGCCTTGTGGTCCTATGCCAATCCTTCCCCTCTCTCTGCTCCCCACACTTTCCTGTCAATTCTCTCGACTGTCCTATCCAAATAAAGGTGAAAACCCTGAAAAATAATTATATATATATATATATAAAAAAGAATATGTAAAGTAACTACAGAAAATTTAAAACATTTCAATTTACATTTAAAACTATCACTTGATTGATTATAGACCTTTTTCATGAAAGCAGTTCTTTACGTCAGTGTTCAATGCGGCAGTCTCATAACCTTGGCCGTAGCCTGACGTAAACCCTGAAGAGCACCTCTCAAAAAATGCAACTACCCGTAGCAGCGATTAATAACTTAAGAGCTGTGATTCGTCAGTTTGGTATCGTTCACAAGTGTGGGCGGAGTCATATAGGAGGAGCGACCTCGGTGGCGCGAGTCTTTAAGAAGAGTCCCTTGCTGGAGCTCCAGATGGATTCTATTATTGTGTTTACTTTAGGATTATAGTTGTTGCGCGTCTCGGTTCTTGCCTCCTTCTTCCTTGAAAGGGTGTAAGCTTGAGCTACTTCTACGGTAATTTAGCATTGCAGTGTATTTAAAAAACCTGCAATGAAACTCAAGACGTGAGATTGACAAGCGGATCGGTGCAGCAGTAATGCGGTGGATGTATCGGTCCGTTGTGGTAAAAAAGGAGCTGAGCCGAAAGAAAAAGCTCTCAATTTACCGGTCAGTCTACATTCTTACTCTCACCTATGGTCATGAGCTTTAGGTCATAGCCGAAAGGACAAGATACAAGTGGCCGAAATGAGTTTCCTTCACAGGGTGGCAGGCAGCACCCTTATAGATAGGGTGAGGAGTTCTGTCACCCGGGAGGAGCTCAGAGTAGAGTCGCTGTTCATCCTCATCTAGTGAAGGGAAGAGGGAAGTCTGGGGTTCTCTCCTAAAGCCTGGTTTATACTTCTGCGTCAAGTGACCGGCGTAACCCACGGCGCATGCACCGGGCATAGCTGTGCATTTATACTTGTGCGCGCTGTCACTGTTGGTCTGCATTAACACTTCCGAAATGCTAGGGGGCAGTGAGGTGTAAATGTTCCTCTGTGTCGAGTTTCTTCACTGCTGTTGTGTTTTTTCTGAATGTACAAGTGGTTCAAACTCGCTCATTTTGAGGCAGGAACCGGCGGACGTGCAACAACTTTAACTATGAGGTAAACACAAAACAAAACTTTCCATCCGGAGCTCCTTCACAGGACTCCGCACTTGTAAACACTTGCTCCATCAGGCTCGCGCGGCACTCTGTCCCACCCTGACTAGTCAGAGCTAACAAGCTCACCAATCACAGAGCTTGCGCTACGCGTCTGTGCGACGTGGAGTTACATTTTTTGAGAGGTGCACGTCAGCAACGCTGATGGCCACGGCGTAGGGCTATGCGTCAACACGTAGGCTGCGCCGTAGCATACATGTGCGCTTGACGCAGAAGTATAAATCAGCCTTAAGATGTCTGCCCCCATGACCCAGCCTCGGAAAAGGAGATGAAAGTGAATGAATGGAACTCAAGACAGAGGAACATAAAAACCCCACTTCCTGATAGCATTTCAGAAGTGATAATGTCAGCAACACAAACAGAATGCATCAATATCATCAGCCTGAGCTGTGGGTTTCCCCGACACTCACTCAACGCATCAAGATTGTGATGACTCATTTAAATGGTCATAGCAGCATCTTAAATCCTACAAAGTTTTTAAACTTAAGATGCATTCATTCATTTTTAAGCACTTTTCTGGGGCCGGGTCGTGGGGGCAGTAGTTTTAGGAGAGAATCCCATACTTCCCTCTCCCCAGTTACTTCTTCCAGCTCCTCCGAGGGGATCCCAAGGCGTTCCTAGGCCGGCAAAGAGACATAGTCCCTCCAGAGTTTCCTAGGTCTTCCCCCAAGATAGAGGTCTGCGGGACCCGACCAGATTTCTGCGGCGCGGGAATAAATTTCCGAATAAATTGCGGGAGCGGTCGGTAAAGGGTTTAATTTGGGACGAGAGCGGGCTGTTTAGCAATAACGTGGATATTGCTATGCGAATGAGAGAGAGCTTTGCCTATGTGTGTGCTTGGTGCTTGTGTGTGTGTATGTTAGTGTGCGCGCGAATGAGAGAGAGAGAGAGAGAGAGAGAGAGAGAGAGCTTTCCCAGATAGCAAAATACACTCGGGCCAGTTCCGGCTAGATTCTCGCCTGCCGGAGAATCTAGCTTGTGGACTCACTGCCTGATTTCGGCCCGAATCAATCGGTCAGATGCGGCTCCCGTAATCGAGCAGACGCTGCCGCATCCGCGCCAGAATCGGCCCGAGAGTAATGTGCGCTGCGGCCCGGAGCTGGCGCGACTCAGTATTTATATACCTTTATATAAAACCTTTTGGTATTACATTGGTACTTCATACATGGTATTACAAGCCTTTGAGTTGATATAACAGCAAACGCCTGTGTGTCTGCTTGGTGCTTGTGTGTGTGTTAGTGCGCGCGCGTATGAGAAAGAGAGAGCTTTGTCTGTGTGTGTGTGCTTGGTGCTGTGTGTGTGTGTTTATACAGACAGCTTGGCTGTCTGGACTGTATAGCTGGGTGATTTTCGGTATTGTTCTCCCCCACTCTTTAGCGGGATCGGGCGCGGCGGCCAGAAAACGGGGCGGGTCGGGCAGCGGGACAACAAGTTCTTAATATAAGCGGGAGTGCTCGGGTTCAGGATAAAACCTGGCGGGAGCAGGCGGGAGCGGGATTCAAAATTTAGTCTCGTGCAGATCTCTACCCCAAGGCCTCCTCCCGGTGGGGAATGCCTGGAACACCTCACTAGGTAGGCGTCGAGGAGGCATCCGAAACAGATGCCCGAGCCACCTCAGCTGACTTCTCTCGATGTGGAGGAGCAGCGGCTCTACTCCGAGCTCCTCCCGGGTAACAGAGCTGCTCAGTCTATCTTTAAGGGTGGGCCCTGCCACCCTGCGAAGGAAACTCATTTAGACCGCTTGTATCCGAGATCTTGTCTTTTCGATCATGATCCAAAGCTCATGACCATAGGTGAGAGTAGGAAAGTAGATTGACCGGTAAATCGAGAGCTTTGCCTTTCGGCTCAGCTCCTTCTTTACCACAACAGATTGTTGTGTGAGCAAATTCATTCATTCATTTTCCTTCAGTCTAGTGCCTCATTTTTTAGGGGTCACCACAGCTAAATGAACCAACAACTACTCCAGCATACGTTTTATGCAGTGGATGCCCTTCCAGCCGCAACCCATTACTGGGAAACACCCATTCACCCCATTCACCTATAGCGCATGTGTTTGGACTGTGGAGGAAACCCATGTGAACATAAGGAGAACATGCAAACTCCACACAGAAATGCTAACCGACCAAATCGAGACTCAAACCAGTGGCCTTCTTGCTGTGAGGCGACAGTGCTAACCTCTAAACCACCGTGCCACCTGTTTTAGCAAATTGCAATGCAAAAAATAATATATGTGTGGTACTCTCCCATTCACTGCCTATTAAGTTTACCCAACTATGACAGCTTGAGATGTGAAACGGGTTCAATCGTAGAAGGTACATGCTTAGTCTTTGGATACCCACCCCTGTTCTCTAGAGTGGCGCTTCATGTGATGGCTGAGGTTGGCTCGCTGCTTGTAACTCTTTCCACACTGGCCACATTTATACGGCTTCTCTCCGGTGTGAGTCCTGATGTGAGAATCAAGGTAGCTTTTACATTTAAAGTTTTTACCACACTGTGTGCAAATGTAAGGCTTCTCTCTGGTGTGAATGCCCATGTGGTTTTGAAGGGCTTGTATTTGAGTGAAACTATTCCCACACTGTTGGCAGGCGAAAGGCTTCTCCCCTGTGTGAATTCTGATGTGGAGTTTAAGGTGCTGCTTTTGCCTGAAACTCTTTCCACACTCGGGACACGTGTACGGCCTCTCTCTGGTGTGGACTCTCATGTGGACTTTAATTTTCGATTTTTGCGTGAAACTCTTTCCACACTGATCGCACGAGAAAGGCTTCTCTCCGGTGTGAATTCTCATGTGGGCTTCAAGGTTGTGCTTAAGAGTAAAGCTTTTCCCACATTGACAGCAGGTCAAATCATCGTTAGATTTGGTTTTCTGAGCTCTTTTATGTGGTGAAGTCGTCTCAGTGGATTTCTCATCAGTCAATAAATCTTGGTGTTTCTCAAACTGATTCTCTTCCCGTTCATTGAGGTCTTCGGTCTCTTCTTTCAGCACCATCAGCTCTAAAGAGAAAAAAAAATACAAGTTAAGCCCAAACTTAATGGCGCAAAGCAACACACTTGTATTGGTGCAATTACAAATTGTGAAGCTGGATAACTACATTACCCTCTATGCTAAAAAACAAAACTCAGATGGGCTGCTGGTGGCTGGGATGCACAAGAAAAGAAACCAAAAAGCCATCCTGGCGACATCCTTACGTCTTTTTATGTTTTTCAAAATCTTTTCACTAGCACCACGGTGGCGCAGTGAGTAGCACAATCGCCTCACAGCAAGAAGGTCGCTGGTTCGTGCCCCGACTGGGTCAGTTGGCATGTCTATGTGGAGTTTGCATGTGCTCCCCATGCTCGCGTGGCTTTTCTTCAGGTGCTCCGGTTTCCATTAGTGTGTGTGTGTGTGTGTGTTTGAATGAGGTTTCTCAGTGATGGGTTGCATCCACTGCCTAAAACGTGCTGGATAAGTTGGCGGTTCATTCCGCTGTGGCGACCCCAGATTAATAAAGGGACTAAGAGGAAAGGAAAATGAATGAATCTCCTCACTAGGGCTAGTCGCGGCACTTATTTTCACGTGTGTTGTTTTGACCTGAGGTGGCGATGATGCAACTCGACCCGAATCTGTTCACGTTGCATCAAGCACGTGAAAATAGTTCACCATGTTCAATTCGCTTTGCGCTCATGCTCCCTGGCATCTTTCGTAACCATCAACCGTTTTCTCAGAGGATGACAAACCAACAAACCATTGCAGTAGCTCTGATACAAGTTTTATTCATGGAAAAAGTTAAAAAGTACTGCAGTGTTTGGGTGCGCTGTGTTTGTCTGAGGTAATTAGTCTGCCATTATTACCGAAGCGTATATATTCTTTACAAATTGTGAAGCAGAAAGCTTAGTCCTAGATACATGAATCGCGGAGCGCAAGTGGTATTCTGAAATGGTCAGATGTTTTTCAAGTAGGTGCACCTGGAAATTGTGAGCGCATCACGTGCGTTCAGCTTGTACACCCTGTGCGCATCGCTCCCTATATGTGCATGCAAGCTGTGTGCCTTGATTGGAAATAATGTAAGTAAATATACAGTTGAAACCAGAAGTTTTTTAAAAACTGTCTGATGGTAAATCATACTAAATGTTTACTATTTTATGTCTGTTAGGATTACTTAAATTATTTGCATTTGCTAAATGCCAGAATAATGAGAGAACTTTTTGGAGGATAATTTTTTTTATTAATTTCTAGGCAGTCAAAAGTTTACACACATTTCCTTGGTATTTTTGTAGCTTTGCTTTTAAACTGTATAACTTTGGTCAAATGTTTCGGGTATCCTTCCACAAGCTTCTCACAAGAGTTTGAAGGAATTTCGGCCCATTCCTCCGGACAGAATTGGTGTAACTGAGTCAGATTTGTAGGCTGTCTTGCTCGCACAAGCTTTTTCAACTCTGCCCACAAATTTTCTATAGGATTGAGGTCAGGGCTTTGTGATGGCCACTCCAAAACATTCACTCTGTTGTCCTTAAAGCACATTTAAGCTGATTTGGCTGTATGCTTAGGGTCGTGGTCTGTTTGGAAGACCCATTTGTGGCCAAGTTTAAAATTTCTGGCTGATGTTGCTTCAGTATTTCAACTTAATATTCTTTCTTCATACTTCACAGTTGGGATGGTGTTCCTAGGCTTGTAAGCTTTCCCCTTTGTCCTCCAAATGTAACACTGCTCATTATGGCCAAACAGTTCAATCTTAGCTCCATCAGAGCACAGGACATGTCTCCAAAATTTTTTTTCCCAGTATAATTTAGCAAATTGTAATTCTGGCTTTTTTGTTGATTTCCCCATGTTGTCACACAAGGAAGCAGTGTGTTTGAGGTTTTCCCTATATACTATTCTACATTTGCGCCACCAATTAACTCAAATGTTGTCAATTAGCCAATCAGAAGCTTCCAAAACCTTGATACATTCGTTCAGTGGCTAATCAGCCGGAATCACCTGAAGTGATGTGAGGGTGATCAGCGAGACCTAGCTGTCACTCAAGTGGCCACGCCCTTAATTATGTGGACTTAATAAAACCTAATATAAAGGAAACAGAACAGTTCTAAAAAAAACATTAACCCCCACAGTTGTCATGAAGGGTAATATTAGCTATATGCACTAAAGCCGTCTTCACATCAGGCTGTAATCATTGCAGTCAGTAAACATCTGGAAGAGACATTTAATGAAATGATTAAGTTGATCTGAACCTGTTTGTTCCTCTGGATCTTCCTGTTTGACTGTAAACGTTTCAATCTTCAGGTCTTCACTCTCCTCTTTAATAGACGCCATCTCAATCAGCTCTCTAGTTCACTATCAACGCATTGCTGAGGGAGCTTAGATCACCTAAGCAGATTAAAAACACTGTAAATTTCTCTCTTCACATGGGAAAATGCTGTAGTGTATTACAGTGTATAGTATTTACAACTCTGTTAATGATTGTTTAGGCATATAGTGAACTGATACACTGCAATAAATACTGTAGTGTAGTTTTTACTACCGTGAATTTAGTCATACCACACTTGGTACATTGTAGAGTATTTTTGTTTAGATTACCATTGGAGTTATATAACCACAGCAACTATAGAATAACTACAGATTGACTTACATATGGTTCAAAAGCACTACATTCACTATAAGTAACTATACAATTTGTAAGGTGCAAATTTAATAAATATAAACACAAACTATTAATTTTGACGCTATTTACGGTATAATGTAAATACCTGTGTTTATGATTATTATTCCACATTTTTAAAAACATTTGCAGATGAGTCGTATAACTTGTAATTCTGATGTTAACATTGTCGTTTTCTGTTTTTTTTTTTTTTTAATTGTGTGTTTTAACAATACAAACATATTAATCATAACAATAATAACAAGTAAATTAATTATAATAATATCAATAATAAAGTAAGATAATAAAAAACAGAGTAAAGACGCAAATTATTAAATTAAATATTTACAAAGTCACAGTTTTAAAACTTTTTGCTGTAAACATTTTGTAAAGTAGTTATTAAATGATTTAAGTCACAACGAAAATTCTGCAACTTATGTAGAAAATTTACATTTGTGATTATAATATTTACCCCATAAAATAAATAAATTGCTTATTAAATAAAATGTTCGTCACAAGAAAAGTAACTAATTATATCACGCATGGAAAAATCAATGGTAAAGTTACATTTTGATGACAAATAAATTGGATAAATCAGACCGAAACACATTAACATGTGGGCATTTGATCAAAAGAGGATCAATCGATTCTCACAACTTGAGTTAGGATTACCGAATTTAGATACAATCTCAATTGTAGAGTAGATATTGTGTCGCACTTTTAACTTTGTGTATCATTCTTTAACTTTGTTGGGAACACAAAATTTGCAAGGTAAGAGCCAAGCTATTCTTTCCAATTAATTCGACCTATTAGAGAAATTTTCCCCGGGAGTGATTCTTTTTTTTGACTGAAACGCGTTTCTTAGATTTTTATTACTACATTTTAGGTCGTAAACGCATCTGTCTTCAACGAAAAACTTTGGTTCTTTTTTTTTAGTCACTTTAAATGGCAAGTGGCATTTCATTAAATGAGCAATGCCATTAGGTATGGCCTTAATCACAGTATGAAATTCTTTATGAATTATATTTAACCATAAAATCACCACATGAGTACACGTTCCCTTGAGGATCAAGTAAATCACAAAGATAGTATGTTTTTCATGCCAATTCTCATAAAAAATCGATGTATTCTTTACTAAGACGCTTTAGTAGTTCCATAGCTTCACTCTGTGAGGGGAGAAATTGCGAAAGAAACATACTTTCCATGCGAAAAGTGCCTGTTTGTAAAATTTAGAGAGTTTATAGGGAGTTTGGATGGAGAAAATCTACAAGTTAACACACATTTGAGACCTACAATGTTTTTATAAATATTATGTGGGATAAAGTACCATCGAATCTGGTTAACATGGTTTTTAATCCAATTTGCTTTAACAGTGTAATTGATGTCAAAACAAATCAATCTTGTCAAAACCACTATCAGCTTTCTTACCACAGAGAACGGACGTTTTCGATGTATTTACATCGTTTTAACCAGCAGGTGACGTCAGCGCGCAGTGACTCGAAAACGAACTGAATCATTTTGAGAAACAAATGATTCAATTGACTCGGAGTTTTGACAGCTCCGTTGCCTCATGCCTATTCGTCAGTGACTGAATACATGTTTAATTACTAGCATATTCACGACACAGGAAGAAATGTGGCGCGTTTATTTCGCCACTCTCGTCCGCTTTATACTCGGAAAATATGTAATTTAAAGTGTTTAATGTTTTGAGTATTACAGTGCTACATTTAATGACAAATGTCTAACAAAAAGTCTTGTAAAAGTATCTATAACATTGACTGAATGTTCCTCTCATTTTATAAACCTTAGAAACGGCACACACCTTTTTCACAGACTGCAGAAACAGGAACGCGGAGCAGCTTTATGGCGTCACACGGCAATAACAAGATAAAAGTCACCTATAGGGAGACCCCCTCAACAAGATGGTAAACGCTTTGGGTGTATGGTCATACACAATGAATGTATAAATTATTGTTTCATTAGTATTTAATATTTATAATTTAATATATAATGTTTACCGAATGGGTTATTATTTTTGAATTTTTATATGTTTCTATTATAATCATTATACTTTAAGAAAAAAATACTTGACAGAATCAAAAATATCCAATCCAAAACAGTGATTCCCATTAAAAAAAAAAAAACACAATCTAATCACAGTCTAATAATTCTAAAAATTTAAATCAGATCCTAAAGATAGTGGAAATTCCAATAAATTGAGTCATACAAATATTTAAAAAGTGAAATGCCTATTAAAAAAATTCTGAATGTCCATTGGAAATTTAGGAAATATTTAGGAAAGGATAGACTGAAATTCCAATAGGATTTTTTGACAAGGGTTAGATTACACTGGTATAAAGACATAGTACGACAATTATTCTAAGAGATTAACCACAAAGTCTCCAATACTATTTTAAGTATTCTCAGAAAATAATACAAAATTACAGAGTATTTGAAATTCTCAAGATGAAAAACACCATCTTGGTATTAAACGAATGGAATTCCTTTATTATATACAGTGTTGGGGAGGTTACTTTGGAAATGTAATAGATTACAGATTACAAGTTACCCCATTTAAAATGTAATAGTGTACCATTTTAATTATTTTATAAAAGTAAAGTAACTGATTACATCTGATAACTTTCTGATCACTTTCAAGTTTTCAATGAATGTTTTCATTTCATTCACTGTTGGAATTTTCAACATCGTTCATCACTTGAATTAAGTTTATATTAATTATGTTGGCTTGAGAAAGCCAAATTTGGCCAAAAGCTGTATTTAGATGTGTTAGATTTTGTTGCTATATCTTTAACGGTTATCAGACTTATAGTTTTCCAATAAATAATTTTTAAGCATTATTTTTCTCAAAATATGGCGAGCCATTTTTTACTTAAACTCCATATTTTTTTACTGATATGGCAAGCCATTTTTGCATGTATAACCTTCAAACTTATTAAGCATTGTATTTTCAAAAAAATACGGCAAGCCATTTTTACATAATGTTCATTCCCTTAGTCCCTTTATTAATGAGGGATTGGCTCGTTTGACTCATGCTAGCAAATGGGACTTCCTGTGTACTATGCATGGCAACAATGGTAATGGAAGCCAAGTGCTAATAACGATTAGCTACATGCTATGAATGATTATCTAAATGCAATAACATATGCTAGAAATGCCTACTAAGTATTAGCATTTGATCAAACATGTACACGAGCATTGCCATTTAGCAACTGCTTAGCAACCATCTAACAATGCCATAATTGTTTTAGCAACTGCCTAGCAACCACTTAGCAACCGCCGTCGTGCTTCCTGCCAACTGCCATTCCCAGTCCTAGCGCAGTCACGTTGGCTTTCTTAAGCCAACATCAAAGTTTATCAATAAACTTTAGGTTCTAGTTTAATTTTAAAGTACAGCTATCACAAAACCAGACCTTAGAACAAAAAAAAGTTTACTGTTGTTACAAAATCTAAATTTTAGTTAGTTGTGTGGCATTTACCATAAAAAAACATTACTTTTTTTTTTGCAATTTTCATTTATAAAACCGGAGCAAGTTCAACCTGAGCCGTTTGTTGTCGACCCCCAAAAAACAGGTAGAAGTCGTCATTCTCACCATCATATAGATTTTCTTTCATTGTATAAACACCGGCCTCACAGCTCCGTGAATGTCGGTGCCATTACTTACTGATCTGCGATCAGTAAATATAGCTCGTGTGGACGCTACTGCGCTACTTGACTAATAAAATAGCTTCGCTACTGAAAAGCTATTTGATTGATATAGTAGCTATGCTACTGCCGTGCTAATGATAAATGTAGTTAAGCTAGTAGCCAGTGCATTCAGCGGCAAAGAAGATTAACGTAATTGGTAGTTGTGGTGCACCACAAATTCAAACCAGAAAACGAATGGCCCTAGCATCGTGCATATCAAAAACAGGCAAACAAATAGATTAATATTATTCAACATATGCCAGATTTTCAAAGAATATTTTAAGATGTAATCTTTAACATTTTCATAAGTAACTAATTTAATTTCACATTTTTTCTCAGTATCCATATCGAACTACTGCTACTTTTCGTTTGTAATTAAATTACGTAACGCCGTTACATGTAACTAGTTACTCGCCAACACTGATAGTAAGACGATTAATTCCAGGGGATAAACCACAAAGTCTCCAATACTATTTTGAGTATTGTCAGTAAACAATACGAAATTCTCGCAAAAAGAAAAACACCATCTTGGTTTTACAAACGAATGAAAATCCTATATTAAAAATAATAAAAATAAAGTCGTTTATAGTTTGAAACTATTGAACGACATACATTCTTGGCTAATTTTGTAAAGAAAATCGTATATTTGATCGACTTCAAATGTTGGCTACTGTGCATTGCTCTAGTTGGGACGCAGGGCCGGATATAACCAATAAATGAGGTAAGCAGCCACTTAGGGCCCCTGGGGAATTAGAGGTCCCAGACCAATGGAAAAAAAGCCTAAATTAATCACATAGCTGTGTGTTTCACATTTTCTGTCATGATGTAAAATCTGGCTATAACTGTTAAGATTTCAAAGTTATTACTTATTTCCAAAACCGGGGGCCCCCATGAATAATGGAACGTTCCGTTCCGTACTGCACCTGTGCGAGTTGTGAGTGCAGTGCAGTTTTTAGGTGTTACTGGAGATTTTGGAGACTCGTGTCTGTGCTGTACCGTTCCTAACATTACTCTTTGCCATAGATATATACACTAGATATCGCATAGGGACCCTGAGCATGCGTCAATAGCGCCGCCACATTGGTACAGTGCTCCCAGGACAAATGTCATTCAACCGCACTAGTCAAGACAGTGTTATTACGTGAAGATGCCGGACTTTAGCTCGGTGTACGGGTGTAGTAACGAGCAAACAAAGAAAACTAAGCACAAAGGCAGAACATTTCATAGGCAATATTACGTTTATTTCTGTTTTTGTATGTTCTGAACTTTTGTGCTAATCAGGTAACGTTATTGAGGATAACAGTCACTTACTGCATTCACCATACGGCACAGCAGCTACAACTCGCACTAAACACTCGGCTTATGCTAGTTTTGTTGAATAAAATCAGCAAACAATGCAAAAGAAATATGACAACGAGATGCTGCGCTGCCAGAAACGTATTACAGTCCGCTAGTGAAAGAGTCGTTCGAGGGATTCATTCACAAACGAATCGCTCCCTCCGTCAGTATGAGAAGTGAAAGCAGGAGAGGAGCTGTGTTTCAGGACACGATTTGATCAAATTTAACAGGGAGGGTGATGTAGAAAAGAATGTAGAAAAGTGATGTAAATTTATAATTTTCGTAATTAGAAAAAAAAATTACATACTAACATCCAGGACAACTCCCGATCACAGATATATGTGTATATCTCTTGCTTTGGATAGCCACAGTCCTCCACTGTACCTTGGTCCCGCATTCATTTCAAAGGAGCGCTACCCTGTACCAAGATGGCGGCGCTATTGACGCATTCCGTCCAATTGACAACAAGCCAGGCGACATCTAATGTATATATCTATGACTCTTTGCAACAAGCTGCAGGTGATGCCTCAGAGCACTCAAAGGCGACACCGTGCCACACAGCCGTCTCTCACACCTCCAGCATTGGGAGCAGATTATTCCTCTGCATAGCGACGGCAAATGTTTCAGCCCCGTGAGCATGAGGTATTCATGTTTTTTTTAGATATTACTATTAAAATCTTATCACAAAATGGCTAAATAACTGTACATCGGGTGCTCAAACTCGGTCCTGGAAGGCTGGTCTCCTGCAAAGTTTAGTTCCAACCTCAATCAGACACACCTAGGCTAGCTAACCAAGCTCTTACAAGGCTTTCTAAAAACATCCGTGCATGTGTTAAAGCAATTGGGAGCTAAAATCTGCAGAAATACCTGCCAACACTGCCGTTTTTCACACCAAATCTCCTGCCACCCTCCCACTTTGTTATTTCTCCCAGCAAACTCTGGTAATTCCCCCACCCATGGGCATTTAGTGGTTTTATTATGGTAAATGTCCACATTAGTAGACTTCAGAATCACATATCCTTATATTTCTCCCTCATAAGGTGATCAGAATCCACATGTCTGAAAGTGTTTTGAACTAAAATGGTTTTAAATTTTGATGACAGTCGGTAGAGTGATAATCAAACATGAGGAAAGAGCAGCAGAGCTGATCGTCTGCAGATTCAGGTAAGCTCCTCCTGTGTTCATGTCTCTCCAGGCCTGCTTCGGCTCGGTGTTTCCATCAGATAAACACCCTGAGGAAGCCCGGACGAAGCCTGATTAAGTCTGTGGAAGAGCAGCTGACACACTCTCTGTAGAGAATAGTTAAAACAAAGCAGTTTCTCATTAGTTAATGACATAGCATATCCGGAGTAATGGTTATTATAGATACTGATATCTGGTTCTTCTTTTAACAAAGTTTAGATTCCCAAAGACAAAAATTGTGTTAAACAAAAAACATGTAAGCATACACCCTAAGCATACTGCCAAATTAGTTAAAATGTCGGTTTAGGACATCAGAGTGAATGTTTTGGAGTGGCCATCACAAAGCCCTGATCTCAATCCTATAGAAAATTTGTGGGCAAAGTTGAAAAACCTTGTGCGAGCAAGACAGCCTACAAATCTGACTCAGTTACACCAATTCTGTCCGGAGGAATGGGCCAAAATTCCTTCAAACTCTTGTGAGAAGCTTGTGGAAGGATACCCGAAACATTTGACTAAAGTTATACAGTTTAAAAGCAAAGCTACACAAATACCAAGGAAATGTGTGTAAACTTTTGACTGCCTAGAAATTAATAAAACAATTCGTTCATTCATTTTCTTGTCAGCTTAGTCCCTTTATAAATCCGATGTCAGCACAGCGGAATGAACCGCCAACTTATCCAGCTAGTTTTTA